GCTCCGCCTCCTCGTCCTGGCTGGAAGGGAGCTCGGCCCAGGTGCGTGGCCTGCAGTGGAGGGGCAGGCACTCGTCCTGGGTGTGCTGGGGGTGGTGCAGACTGCAGGTGTCCCTGCAGGTGGGAAGGCCTCCAGCAAGGGGAAGACACGCCTTCTCTCTCCACAGGCCAGGGAGCCCCGTCTTGCCAGAATTACCCCCACTCCCTCCCGGAAGGCTCCAGAGCCCTCTCCCCTGTGAGTCCCGGGGGTGGGCAGCAGGTCTGGGGTCCTGTTCCTCTCCCCAGCACACTGCCTCAGTTTCCATCTGCTGCATCAAGGAAAAACTCACGTGGAGCTTTTAGGCCCTGGTGTTCTGGCGTCTTGTCCCCTACTGCTTGCATGCCTGTTCCCCTCCCTGGTGCTCTCGGGTGTCTTGGGGGTCACCGAGACCACTGCACTCCCGTTCCAGAGGGTGGCGTGGCTCCTGCTCGCTGGTCCCGCTCCCCTCCACACAGCTCCTGCTCTTAGGGCTGTGCTTCCTCTCCCTTCTGCTCTGCTGGAGCCTGGCTCCTGGACGCTGTTTCCTGAGTGAGCGTGTGCCGTAGACTGAAGTTGCCAGGCCCTCTCCCACCTCAGCTAACTCCACTTCTGCTCCAGCAGGGAGCCGGGACCCTCAGTGAAGCCACATGTGCCCCCAGCCTCTGCCTCAGCTCCAGTGGACTCCCGCGACCGCAGGAGGTGAGGGTGCCGGGAGGAAGTGCTGTCTGTCCAGTGGGGAGGAAATACCTTGCCAGGAGTCAGGGAGCTCCTGAGCCAGAGGCTGTCCGCAGGGCGGGGGTGTGGAAGCAGGAGCCCTGCCTGACCTCAGGTCGTGTGTTCAGGTCCTACCAGATGCCCGTGCGGGATGAGGAGTCAGAATCCCAGCGGAAAGCACGCTCCCGCCTCATGCGCCAGTCTCGGAGGTCCACACAGGTGTGGGGTGGGTGGGGGCTGGACCCTGGGTCTGCGGGGCAGGCTGGCCCAGACCCGGGTCTGAGGGGGGAGGTCAGGACAGGACTCTTGGGTCCTGATAGAGGCTGGTTCCTGTCCCTGTCTCCTCAACCTGGCAGGGTGTGACTCTGACAGACTTGAAAGAAGCAGAGAAGGTGGCAGGGAAGTCTGCGGAGGCGGAGAAGTCGTCCCTGCAGGGCCTGGTAAGTGGGGTCACATGAAGGGCAGCAGGTGGTGCCATGCCCATGTCCTGACCTGGTTTGCTCCCTGGCAGGACCCTTCCCAGAGGCCCAGAGTCCCTGGAGTGGAGAACTCCGAGGGCCCTGCCCAGAGAGGTGAGGTTTGCTCTGGAAAGGCTTCTCCCACGCAGCCGTCCAGTGTCCAGGGAGCTGGGCCCTGGGGGTACCGCCCTACAGAGAGGGCCATTCCGGGTGCCCAGGCTGATGGTTCCCCACCCCCAGCAGAGGCGCCTGATGGGCAGGGCCAGGGACCACAGACTGCCAGGGAGCCCCGCAAGATTGGCAGGGAGCGGCGGGGGCCTGCGGAGGTGAGCAGGGGCCCGGGTGAGGCGGGGAGAGCACAGGCCTGGGTCTGAGGGACCCCATCCTAGGGCTGCAACCTGCCTTCTGCCTTGGCAGGGGGAAGAGGCAGAGCCCGCGGACCGAAGCCCAGAGTGCAGGTAGGGGGTGGGCCAGGGCAGAACCTTAGGGCAGGGCCGAGCCCGACCCAGACCCCTCCCAGCTGCCCCTCTGCTCCGCAGCCCTGTAGATGGTGGCCTTCCAGGCCGGAGGCCTCATGCACAGCCGGACCTCAGTCCAGAGCCTGAGCCACGATCCGAGGAGCCGGACGGGGGCTTCAGGAAGGTGCAGGACCCCGCCGGCCGGGTTGGGGGCTTGTCCTCCCTAGGCCTGAGTCTGCCCTGCCTGACGCTGCCCTCTCTGGTTCCCTCAGCTGTACTCCGAGCTGCGCAGGGAAAATGAGCGGCTTCGCGAGGCCCTGACCGAGACGACGCTTCGGCTGGCACAGCTCAAGGTAGAGCTGGAGCGAGCCACGCAGGTGAGGGGCCGGGCCTGGAGCTGGGGCTGGGCGGGGCCGTGGGAGGCGGGGCCGGCCGCCAGGTGGGTGGAGTCGGCGTGGTTTTGGGGGCCGGGGTGCGTGGCCTGCCTCCCCTACTCCTGCACCTGTTTGATCCTCTACTTTCTGTGCCTTTCTCTCTGCTTCCTAGCGGCATGAGCGCTTCGCTGAGAGGCCAGCCCTCCTAGAGCTGGAGAGATTTGTGAGTCTGGGCCTGTGGGGCGGAGGTCCGCCATTCCCCGTCCTACGCAGCGGCCCAACCCGGGGGCCCGCACCGAGCCTCCTCACCCTCCCCGCCCAGCCACCCTGCCTTGGCAGTCACTCTGGGCTTCTGATCTTGCTCTCTACATTCCAGGAGCGCAGGGCCCTGGAGCGCAAGGCAGCCGAGCTGGAGGAGGAGCTCAAGGTAGGCACTCTGAGAGGCCTTGGGGTGTGCATATCGCGCCGCAGGGGCTGTCCACCGCACTGACCCTGCTCCGTGCCCCAGGCCCTGTCTGATCTCCGCGCCGACAACCAGCGGCTCAAGGACGAGAACGCAGCGCTGATCCGCGTCATCAGCAAGCTGTCCAAGTGACTTGAGGCTTGCCGCACGTATCCATGCAGCTGCTTCTGCCACACGCACCCTTCCCCACGTGAACACGAGTGACGGCTCCGGGGAAGCCACTGAGAAGCCATAACTTCCTCTCAGGCCCCTGGGAGGAAGGGAGCCCTGCTGGTTAGGCTGGAGGGAGGGAGGCTGAGCCAGGCAGGGACATGGCACTGAGAGGGACCAGGAAGGAAACAAGGCCAGTAGCCAAGGACCAGAGGGCGCCCCGGGGTCCCCGCCTCACGTGTGATGCCACCCAGCCCCTCCCCCTCCGAGCAGGGTCCAGGAATGTGCCAAGAGCCCCGCCGGCCTCCGCCAGGTGGGCCTGTACATAGGGTCCATGTGCAATAGGAGGGACGGACGTCTTCTATTTTTGCTGCCCCCTTCCTGCCTGTTGTCTGGGGAGGGGGAGGAGGTATTTTCGAGACAAAGCACAGGCACCACCAATAAAAGTCGTGATGTTGCCACCGAAGAGCTTGTCCCCAGCCCGGCTAAGGGTGGGGGCTTCTCCCTGCTCCCTGCCGGGGTTGTGTGTGCCTTGTGAGGTGCCAGGGGTGGGTCGGTGTCTGTGTCTGCTCATGGTGAAGGAGGCCTGCCTGGCTGGCGGCGGTACCGGAGGTAAGGAGGGCAGGGACCACCCAGGGGCCGTGGCTTAGCGCTGAAGGGCCTGCGTTGGTCGTGCCGTGTAGTCCAGGCTGGCTTTGAACTCCCTGTCACGATTGGCCTGAGACGCGGCGTGGCCCTCCTGCCTCAGCCTCCCAAGTCTTGGATTACAGCTGCTGTGCCCAGCTCTAGGGAACCGGGGTTTGTGGTCAGCATCTTTAGAACAAATTGAGCCAACCCCTGACATTAAACTTCAGGGTAACGTCCATAAAAGATGGGGTTTCGGCCTCCCTGGGAAGGTCGGAGGCTGCGGCTGTACTCATTTTGTTTCATGTCACAGGCACAAGTGAGAAGCCACCTCAAGTGGGGCTCCTTCAGCCCCTCTGATCCCAGACCTATCCAGCCGCCAGATCAGGTTCTGCTGCCAGCTACTGTCCTCTGTGAGCGAGACAGGCTGCAGGGGTGGCGGTGCATGCTTGAGATGCCCTGCGCAGGAGGCTGAAGCAAGAGGGCTGAACGTTTTAAATGGCCGGGGGTGTTGCTCAGTGTAGTGGTTGCCTGGGGGTGAGAGACTGGGTCCTATCACCGGCAGCACCAACAGAAAACAAAGGTGCAGTGCATCCTGGGAGAAGAGGGGAGGCATCTGATGGCATACACAATTTGGGTAGAGGACGAGGTGTGTGTGGTGTACAGGGTGGCCCTGCAGGTGGCAGGGAGTGCGCGTGCGCATGCGCCTCCACGCCCGCCCTCCCACCTAGTGTGGCATGAACTCTGAGAAGGACCAGGTCTGAGGTCTTGGGCTTCTGCACTGACACCGGGAGAGGGTCAAGGAACAGGGCCACCCGCTGAGGATGAAGTCCCAGTGAAGGCGACAGGCTGAGGGTCCGGAGCACTGCAAGGTCCGGGCGCTGGATGTCCCCAAGCCCCTGGTAGGTGGTTCCTGTAGGAAGTTCATCCGCAGCCTGGGAGACGGGACATGGGGGCTTGCGGAGCTGCTTGGCTCCAGGCCCCTCGGTGCCCAGGTGTGGCAGCAGTGGATAGAAAGAAGCAGATGGCTGGCGCCCTCTCCTGTGTTAGGGGGAGCCACGGGAGGCATCTGGGTAGGGGCAGGCTCAGGCTAGTTGTGGGAAGGTGTCTCGGAGACCGAAGTGGCCAGTGCATATACCAGAAATCCCAGAAAGAAATCAAGGTCAGAGTGCAGGAGCCGGGTAGGGGGCTCCTGGGGATGCCGGCAGTCCTGGGCCGAGCCGCTTTAGAGCGCCGTCTAGCGGCCTGGGCTACAGGCCCAGAGGCTCTAGTGGAGCCTGCCAGGGGGTGTTCTGGGAACTCCAGGGAAAGCCACTCTCCCTAAAAGTCCAAGCCCCACCCTCCATGCCCGAGGGTGGGACCAGAGAAAAGCCAGACCTCATCCGCCACCCGGATAGTGGCTGCCAACGACGGCGTGGCACACTTGAAGCAGCCAGCTAGCTCCAGGGCTGGACCCCTGGCAGGAGGTATGCACCAGGCTTGCAAGTGCAGGGCAAGCTTCCCCAGAGTGGGCATTTGAGCTGGGCTAGGAAGGCTGAGTAGGTGTTGGCCAGGCAGAAGGGCTGTTGGTGACTATCAGAGAGTCAAGTGAAAGATGCCTGTGCTTGAAGGGGCCAGCCTTGTCGGGCTGGTGGTACACGCCTGTAATCCCAGCGCTGGGGAGGCTGAAGACAGGATCACTATGAGTCCGAGCTGCAAAGTGAGACTCTACCAAATACATTTAAAAAAAAAAAAAAATGGTTTTTGAAGAGGCCAGTATTTGCGAGAATGAGGTGTCAGGTGAGGCTGGAGGGAAAATTTCAGGGCTTAAAAGCCAGCAGATGGGGCCGGGAGGGTAGTGGGCAGCCACGGAAGGAGTCTCAGGGTCGGGCGTTCAGAAGGCAGGCCAGCTGAAGGACAGACAGTGGGATCACCGGGATGCAGAGGGCTCAGGGGCAAATCTCAGGAAGGGTCAGAGGCAGCTTCCTGGCTCCCTGGCAGTAGGCAGAGGGGACAGCGTTGACACGGCCAGCTGAAAGGAGGCTTGTTTATAGGCTGGGGAGCACACGTCACAAAGGACAAGGGTCCCGGGGTGCATGCGCCGAGGGCCCTGCGAGTGCTTGACGGTGCGCTTTGAGTCTCGAGCCCCAGTTGGCCACCCGCTACTACTCGCAAGGAGGAGGACACCAGCTGGAAGCGCGTCTGCGCTGGCCGGGCCTGCTGGGCAGTCTTCCAGAAGTCTGTGGTCCCGCGGGACGGAGGACCCCGCTGTGGTAGTCACGTTTGGTCAAGGGGCCGGGAAGGGTCAGATGACCTCCGCTTTCATCTCACTTTCTATTTTCTTCTTCTGCTTCTCCATCACCGCCTGCAGCTCGGACACTTTCTCTTTGTCCTGCGGAGTAGTGAAAGTCAGGCCCAGGTGGCCAAGCCCTCAGCTCCCCCCACCTTCCATCCCCCCACTCCCCTAGCCCCCCCGCCCGCCCGCCCGTGTCGCTGGCAGGGCTCACCTCCAGCAGCGCGCGCTGCACGGTGAGCTGGCTGTGCACGCGCGCGCCCTCCTGGGGGCTCACCGCCCGCAGCTCCTCCTTCTGCAGCGAGAGGAGCTGGGCTCCGGTCAGCACGCCCAGTGCGTCCACAGTCCTACGTGGGAGGGGCGGGAGTTCAGGCCTGCCTGCCAATCACAGCTCAAGCTCTCTCCAGCCCTGCCAATCACGTCAAGTCTGTTTAGCCACTTGTCCAATCAGAACAGCATTTCGGCGTCTGAGCGTCCCACGAGTCAACTACAGTGCGTGGTCCAGAGGCGAAGTACCATCCCCCCTTTTTTTTTTATTACTTTTTTCTTTTTGAGACAGGGTCTCACTATGTAGCTGGCCTCCTACTCACAGCGATACCTCTGCGTCAGCCTCCCGAGGGCTGGTACTAAAGGCGTGTGCCACTATGCCCCGTATTTCTTTTTCGAAAGCTCTCACTTTCGAGATGGGGCGGGACTTTTCTGGAGGCGCCAATCGGAGCCTGGGAAATTTACCAATTGGCGCCTAGCGTGTATGCCCGGTCGATTTGGGCCAATTTCTGCTCCCTGTGGTCTCCACGCTCTGTTCGGAGCCAATCGGAACCTCAGCTCCCCGATGCCGGCCTCTCCGCCCACGAACCGGTGAGCCCCACTCACGCAGCATTAAACCCCTTGGCCTGCAGCCACACGCGAACTTCTGTGGCATCAGAGCGCCGGCTAAGCTGCGGCTCCGGGGCGCGGGGTCCCGGGGCTGTGCGACTGGGAACCGAGCGGCCCTGCGCCAGGCGCGCCTGCAATTCCTCGTTCACACTCAGCATCTGGGAAAATTTCTCTGCAGGCGGGAAAGGAAGAGGGGGTCGGGCCTCTAGCGTACCAAGGATGGGTCGATTGAGAATTCATTCTCATTCTTTCTCTTGAGCGCATGGCCTTTGCATTAAGGGCCCCCACCCACCCCGCTTTTTAAAAATTTTTGAGCCTGGATCCTCGTAAAGTTTCTAAATTGCTCAGGTCTCGAACTCCTGCTTGACACTCCCAGAGTGCTGGGATTGCAGGTGTGCGGCAGTGCGCCCAGCTTCATTTTCTCTTTCTAATTCACCCTTCCCGGAAAAGAGAGGACAAGCCCCGTCGTCGAAGGGGTGCGCCAACACTCACCCTTTTCGTTGGGGTCCAGGTTGTTGAGGCAGTCGCAGCTGTCCCAGTGGGGCCGGGCCGGAGCCGGGGCAGGTGCCAGGGCCGGAGGGTTAGGAGGAGGAGGGATGTGCTCCTGGGATGGGGGAGGTTCTCTGGGTCAGGGGAAGGACGTCTAGACCCGCCTGCCCCCATTGGACACGAACATCCGAGTCCCCAGTCCTAATCCTTGACACCGCGTCCTACGCCCTTCGCCTGGGTTCTGGGTTCTAGGTTCTTGTCCCCAGCCTCTCCTCCTTCCAGACCCCAGAGTCTGTCATGGCTCACCAGGCTTCGCGCAGGGCTCTGGCTGCGGTCAGCTCGCGGTCCGTAGTGGGGTGTCAGGATATTATAGGGTACATATCCCTCCTGGCCCTGTTGGTCCCTAACCTTCCACCACTTGCGCCTGTCATCCAGGACCTGCGTGGGGAACGGGAAGACTCAGGGCCTGGGCTTGCAGCTGGGGCTGGGCTGGGCTGGGCTAGTCTCGCCGGTTGGTTCCGGCTGCAGCCCTCAGGTCTAACCTCCAGCACAGCTCGCTGCTTGACTGACAGTTCACTACTGTTGCGGGCCTGGAAGTCGTAATTACAGAGCACCCACTTTCCTGCTGGCTCCGGCTCTGGCTCCCGTTCTGGCTCTTGGTGACTGAGGGGAATTGGGAAGTTGGAGATGAAGAGGCAGCCGGCCCCACCAGCCTGGGCTCTGAGGTGCTGGGGTGAGTTGGGGTTAGAGCCAAGCAGGGGCCAGGTTAACTAGGGTCTGAAATGGGAATAACGTAGATTTGCATAGATTTTGCTCCCTCCCTTGCCTGGCTTGGTACTGGCCTATGATGGGGATGCTACCAAACCTCCATTTCCTAGGGGATGACACTGTGGCTCAGGAAAAACAGCAGCATGTACTGAGCACCTGCTAGGTCCCGGGCTCGTGTATCGTGGTGACTTGTGACAGCAGTAGCTGCAGCTATGTGTGTAGCCGCACATGCCCAACTGTTGGCAGTCCATTTCACAGCTGAGCTGATTTGGTCCTCTTGAGGACCCGTTGATAGAGCCATGAATTTGGACCCCACCTCCTTCCTTCCCTAGGGAGCTCATGTCTCCATTTTCACAGGCAAGGATGCTTTGGCACAGTTGTGCAAAGGCCAGGAAGCGAGAAAGAAGTGCAGGTAGACTGGGCCCAAGCACTGCGTGCTGCCGTCCCTCTGCCCTGCTGTGTGTGGCTGGTGGGAGCCCAAGCTCAGTTGCAGCCCTGCGCCTCAGCCCCTGCTTCCGAGGTCTCCTGCGTGTCCACAGGCACTGCCATTCTTCCTGCTTCCCTGCAAGCACTGGAGGCCCAGAGAAGTGAGTGGAAAGCTGGAGGGTCCCAAGCTCAAGGTTTGGAAGCCCAGGGGCCATGGGGTAGGGGATCCTGGGGCACCAGCAGCTGAAGGCCCTCAGCCTGGATCAGGCCTACCTGTGCAGGGGAGAGGGGGGGTCTTCAGGGCCGCGGCACCCCCTGTGTGGGGCTGGCAGCTCCCAGCATGCTGTGCCTGCTCAGGCCCTTGTTGGGGCCCCAGCCAGACCCCAGTTCACCTCCTCTGGTTCCTTCCCTTCTCAGGTTGGCTCCTGCCGGTCTGCCCCTCGCTTGCCCGAGGACCCTCGACTTCCAGCCTCGCCTGCCTTCTTCCTCCCCAGAACCCAAGAGCCTGAGTCCCCGCGGTGTGGAAGACACACGACTTTGGATCCCTAGTGTTTTTTTTTCCAGGATCCCGGAGTCCAGGGCACAGGCTTCAATTTCCTCTTCCTTGAGCTCCAAGAGCCTCCCCGTCTGCGCCCAGCAGGGCCTTGGACTACTGCTCTAATGCCTTTGGGAAACTGGAAGTCCCGCTCCCAGCTCTTAGCCCTGCCTATGTCCTGGAGACACTTGTCATGTCCCCACTCTCTCAGAACTGACCTGAAGCCCTTGAAGGCCCCGGCCTGCTTCTATGGGTCTCTGGGATCCCCATCACCAAACCTGAGTTCTTCAAAGCGCAAATGTCCTGTCCTAGCCTCATCCTCTAACACCAAGGTGTCGCCTGCGCTCAGGAGCCCAAGGATGGAGTGTCTTCCAAACTGCCTTTCCAGCTTCTTCAGTACTTGGGATCCAGCCTCCTCCCAGCTACCTATGCCTAGACCTAGGGATCCTGCCCCCCTCCCACCTCCCCAGAACTTGCCCCACCCCCGCCCTGCCCCGGCCCCTCCCCACCTGTCACCACCTCACCCACCTGTGAGGAGGAGCCAGGGAGACAAGAAAAAGACAGAAAAGTGGGGCTGGTCAGTGTGAGGATCCCCAGGACACACCCCTTCAGGGTGCCCTGCCCGCCTGGCACAGACACTCACCCATTGACAGCGACCTGGGGCACGCTTTGCTGTGGGGAGGGAGATGGCTGGGTCAGTGAGCACCTGCGCTGACCTTCTCTTGGGTCTGGGGAGCCCGCGCCTCACCTGCTGTCGCTGCCGCTCATGTTGGAGCTGTTTCTCCACGGGGTCCTCCCAATGGCGGCCCTGGGGGTCGGTGGCTGGTGGCTCCCAGCCACTGTAAAACTTGGGGCTGTAAGCGGGTCCCTCCTCTGGGGGCAGCTCCAGCCTGTGGTAGGGGACCATCAGGACAACAAATATGTCTCTAAACATGTTGACTCCATTCTGATGGCCCTTTTAAACTGTTTTGATTTGGGACACGGTTTTTCTACTTTGTAGCTTAGGCTGGCCTTGAACTCACTGCGTAGCCCTGGCTGGCCTGGAACTCTCAGCGATCCTCCCTTCTCAGCCTCCAGAGGGCTTGGACGACATGAGTGTGACACTACAACTGGTTCAGTTCATCGAGTGTGTGTGTGTGTGTGTGTGTGTGTGTCTGTCTGTCTGTCTGTCTGTCTGTCTGTCTGTGTACTGGGGATCAAGTTGAGACCTTCCACTTGCCAGGCAGGCGGCCTCAGCATCTATATATCATTCTTTTTTTTAAATTTTATTATTTATTTTTTTATTTGTGTGTGGGGGGGCCAGCTCAGCCCACCAGGGGGCGGGGGTGGCTGGCATGTGGTGCTGGGGATTGAACCGTGGTCCCTGTGCTTTGCTGAGCTTGTTCTAAGTAGGTGCTTTAGACCACTGAGCCATCTCACCAGCCCCTATATCTCATTCTTGAGTCCCAACTTTTTATTTATTTGCAGAACCGGGGATTGAATTCAGGCCCTTGCGCTTGCCAGGGAAGCGCTTATTGTACTGAGCCATCTCCCCGGCTCCTGATCCTTGGATTTTAGACCCCACGCTAATTTGTGGCCTTTCCGACGTCCATCCCCGCCTTTATCCTAAGCCCCGCCCCGTTCCGTTTCCTCGTCCACACCCTCTAGACTGAGCCCCGCCTCTAGCCTGTCCTCTCCTCCTCTCCTTTTCAGTTTCCACGCTCTGGACTGGCCAGATCCCCTACCCCGGGCGGGTCCAGGAGTCTCCGAGGGAGGTCCACAGCTCGTTTTCCCTGGGGGTGACGTTGTCGCGCAGCAGCGCCACTGCCTCTGACGTCAGGTGTGGCCGCCGCACGCCGCTGGCGAACTCGGGGCCGCCGGAGGTGTTCACAATCTGCAGGGCGACAGGGGTCGAGCTGATACCAGCTCCTCTGCTCCGCCCCAGTCCTGCGGGAGACCCAGTGGGCGGCGACAGCTCACCATCTGCAGCGGCCCTAACAGAAAGTGCAGCAGCTCCGGAGAAGAGGGGTTGGCGATGTTGCCACGCAGCCGGGCCTGGGTGGGATGGCGCTGGGTTAGTGCGGAAGGTAGGAGTCACCGTCCCTGGTCCCCTCGAGGCCCGCGGGGCACAAGTCCTTACCAGCAGACTGAAGGCATACTTGATTTTCTGAAGCACATCCGTGTACTCGGCCTCAGAGGGTGGCTTGGCCCGCAGCGTCAGCAGGCCTTCTGTGAGTGTCACAGGCACAGTGGTTGGGGACCCGAGACGACAGATGACACAGCCACAGAGGGGCGGATACCGAGTGATACTTAGGGAGTTCACTCGTGAGAAGCCAGGCCGGGATGGTGGAGGGGTTATGGAGACGCTGGGGATTGAAGGCAGAGTCTTTGGGAGTAATGAGGGTGGGTGCTCCGGGTCATCCGAGGCATTACTTACCCCCAGCTTCCCGCCGCCGGGTCCTGCGGCTGCGCTCCCGGTGCTCCAACACGCGGGTGGCCTCTGCAGATTTCTGCAGTCTGGACACGAAGGTCTCCACATCCTCAAACACGTGGTTCAGGATGTCCTGGGGATACAAGGGAAGGGGGTGGGGCTCCTGAGTGTCAGACCCTCATCGCCACATACCCCTAGAGCCGAGCCCCACTCATCACCCCAGGACTCGACTTCTCCCGGCTGGAGACAGCCTTGACTCAGGAGGCCCGACTGGCTTGGTGACCCTGCCGGCCCCATCCCCGACCCAGCCGGGCAGTCCCTCACCACTTCCCGCTCTGCCTGCAGACCCGCCAGCTCCGGGCCTCTTGGGCCCAGATCCGGACTCTCGGGGTATGCGCTGTTCGCTGGGCCGGGCACCCCCTCCTCCGCCTCGGGGATAGGCTGCACCGGTGGCGCCCCTCGGCCCACGGCCGGAGAGACCGAGCTGATCACCGCACGGACCGAGGGGCGGCGCTGCAGGGGCGGGGTCTGGACGGTGGGCCCGCGCTGCAGCTCCTCCTCAGCGGCCCTGCGGAGCAGCGGGGGAAACGGAGGCCAGATCAGTGGAGAGGACTAGCGAGGGACTCAGCTGAGTAGGAGATCCACGCTGAGACTGAAGGGGTCAGACGTGGGCTTGGCGTTGGGCGGAAACTAAGGCCAGAAGGAGAACCCGAGGGCCAAGAAAGGCGGGCGTCTGGTCTGGGAGGGACAGGACACCCCACCCCCTCTCCGGTCCCATCCCGGCCCTCACCGGAGCGCCGCTGCCCTGCGCTCTCCGCGTCCGGAGCGGTAACTGTGCAGAGCCCCCTGGATGTCCTCTCGGATCAGCTCCGCCTGCCAATCACGGGGTCCCGCTCACTGCCCTCGGGCCGTGCCGCTGGCCGACCCTCCCAGTCCGCAAACCCGTCCCTTCTAGAGCCTCTTCCCAGACCACGCCCCTCTGTCGCCCAGACCCCACCTTCGCCCTTAGGCCCCGCCTCGTTTCTGTCGTGGGAGCCCAGAACCTCACCCCAAGACGTAGGCCCTGGAAGAAGTGCACGTCCGGCTGCGCGCGCTCGGGCTCCTGACACACTACGAGGAGCAGCGAGCGGCTCCTGCCCGGCGGCGTCACTGCGTCGCAGCGCACTATAGAGCCGAGGGGATACGACTCCAGCTCCTCCTGCAGGCCAGACAGCAGGGTAAACTGAGGCATGGGCCGGTACTACCTCTCCATGGAGACTGCAGTGCCCAGTGGGGGCAGGAACGGGACTCTTTTAATAGCGGCTGGCGGATGCTCGCCCCCCACCGTGCACTCAGTTCTCCAAGGTCCCTAGGGTCGGTCAACAGCCCGGCCACTTCCGCCCAGGTTCCCAGCACCTTGGAGCCCGGGTCGAGCAGTGTGACATGGCCAGGGGACACACGCAGCAGCATCTCCTGGGTCCAGACGCGGCCCTGGCTGTCCATGACTGCCAGCTTCCTGGACGCATCCTCCACCGTGTGCACACCATCCTCCTCGCCCAGGCAGAAAGTCACCAGGTGCTGGTGCCACAGAGAAGGCAGTGGGTTGGGTGCAGCCCCCTGGACACAGGCTTCCGGGCTGAGGCCGCCCACTCCTCCAGGAAGCGGAACCTGATCGCCTTGGGGAGTCAGCCCACTGCCTAGGGCGTCTTTCCTTCATCAGGTTGGGGGCACCAGACCAGGGGCCCTCCGTCTGAACTCCATGTAGTTCCCCTCAGCGCCTCCCGGGACCCCGTGTTCTTCTGGGCTGCCCCTCCCCCCCCTTTCCGAGCCCGACAGTGATTTGCCTCTGTTCAGAACAAAGCTCATGCCAAAATAAGTCAGAGACTCTGGGGCACTAGGTAGTCTGGCATCTGTCACCTCTGAGGTGGAGACACAGTCCATTTTGCCTGAGTGTCTGTTTGGGGTCCGAACTGTTTTAACGGTTGTGCCTCTCTGGGGCCTCTCTTCCCAAGAAGACCTCCTGTGGGAGCAGACCCGACTCACATTGACCTGATACTGCGACACATCAGCCATCACCACGGTGGAGTAACGCTTCCTCTGCTCTGTGCAGGAAGAGGGAGGACAGCTGGACCCAGGCCCAGCCTCCTCGCTCTCGCCGGGCGGCCCCCTCAGACCCTGCCCCACCCCTGCCCTGCATTCCGGGCCACACCCACCGTAGATAGACTTGGCACTTGGCTTTGGGGGAGCTTCTGGGCTGGAGAAGGAAAAGAGAGAGAGAAAGGCTGTGGGGTCGGGGCAGAGCCCTCAGCGTGCCAGGCAGCGCCGCGAGGCCGTGTGGGGAGGATGCTGGCTGTGGGGCACTGGGGCAGGGCGGGGCAGGCCGAGCTGGTGTTGGAGAAGGCAGGCAGGCCGAGGCCCCACAGGCATGCAGACCTGCCACGAATCTCTGTGCTGTGTCCTTGCCAGAAGCCTGAGACGGAGACTTGGTCTCTCCTGCCTCAGTTTCCCTTTCCCCCAGCATCTGGCTGGTGGGACTGTTGGGCAAACCACTGAGATGATGTGTGAGCAGTACCTGCGGCCAACTGTCCTGCCCCTTTTGGGAAGGGCTTAGCACCAGGAGTTGCTGGGTAAGTGGGAACCACCCCAACAGCAGCCCACTGCCCCTGAGCTGAGACCGTCCTCCCTCCACCCTGCGCAGGACTCCTCCAGGCTAGGGCCCTCTCTGTCCCTGCGCTCCCTGGTTGCTCTTCAAGGGCGCTGCCTAGGAGAATGCTTGCACCCATCCCCTGGTCCACAGAAATCAGAGGAGCTCAGATCTCAAGGGAGAGGTGAAGGAGGGAGGAAACAGGAATCTTCGGCCAAACCCTGCTCCTTACCCTGCTCCTGCTAGCCCAACGTCGCAGCAGTTCGATTACCTCTGGGCTGGAGAGCTCACTACCTACCCTGCAGCTATTTACTCCTCTCTGTGTCCTTTTGCCTGCCACTCAGATACCAGAGTCCTGGTCCTTAGCAGCCCTGATGTTCTAGTTGAAGGTCAATATTTAATGAGAAGATAACCGCGGAGGCCGCAGCAGTTCCCGTAGGTGGAGCACCTTCCAGGGACATGCTGTGAAATATCCTGATCCGGTGCCGGACTCTTCAAGTGCCCCCTGCTTGGGAGAGCCGGCTGGGGGTGGGTGGGGTCCTCCTGCCCTGAGTGAGCCCTCGCAGTGACCTGGGCCTGTGTGCCCAGCCGTAGGAGGAACGCAGTGCTAGGCAGCCCTACTCCCAGTGTCTTAGCCTGGGAGCTGCCAACTGGATCTGCAGGTGTGGGGGCGGGGCCTGGCCTCTCCTTCTCAGACGCTGGGTCCAGACCCTGGCCCTCCGCTGTCAGACCCTGGGTCCAGGCCCAGGGTCTCCCTCAGACCCAGGGTCCCTGCAGGCCTTCTTGCTCGGCCCGTAGGGCAGTGACACTTACCCGGGAGTGACAGTGGGGGTGGCCGTGGTGCTCATGGTGCCCTGCCTGGGAGCTGTTGTCCACCTGGAGTCTTGGGACACAGCAGAGATGTGAGCCCACCTGGCTGTAGGAAGGTGCGATTTTGGCCCAGCCTCCTCCGTCAGGCCTTCAGGTGCAGGCCCACCCTGTGAGGTGCAGAAGTCCTGGGTCCGGCTGGCCTGGCTCTGCTTCTGTCTGGCCTCAGTGCCTGTCCTCCTGCCCCTCCTTCCTGGCTCCTCCCTCTGCAGCCGCAGCCTCCGCATACCTGAGCGCTCACCTGGCAAGGCTGCGGTGGTGGCAGGCGGGCGGGGCTGGGTGCCTGTGCCAGCAGGGTTGGGGGTGCCCAGAGGGAAACTGGGAAACTTATTTGTGTCCATCGTGAAGACAACAAGAGCAACAACAGTCTGATGTCACCCTCATTCACAGGGCAGTCACAGCTCTAGTGTGTGTGTGTGTGTGTGTGTGTGTGTGTGTGTGTGTGACACTGGGGGCTTAACCTAGGGCTCCTGCACTGAGCTCTATGCCCAGCCCCTTTTAATGTTTTCCTTTAAGACAAGATCTTGCTTAATTTGTCAGGATGGGATCCTCCTGCCTCAGCCTCCCAGAGTTTTGAGATTATGAGCATGTACCTCCAAGGCCAGCTGGTTCAAAGGTCTGTCTTTGGCTTCTCCTAACACCTGGCCTGGGGCAGCTACAGGCTGGCAGATCATTTTTCTTCCCCTGCCACCTCTGGGGACATCATTTCCATGGTTGGCCGAGTCTCCAGTCCTGAACTCCACCCGTCTTTACCTGTTCCTTGGAAATTTCCCTCCCAGTCCTCTGCTGCGGTGAGCCCGAGACTCGGCTCCTTAGGTACCCATGGCATGAAGCACACAGGTCGCTCTTCACATGTCGCCCCACCCAGGGTTGTGCATGTCCCCTATCTACGGAGAGCAGAGCGGGCCGAGGTTGTGGTACAGAGAGAGGGGTGACAGCATGGCATGGAGGCCAGCAGTGTGGCTCTCTCTGGGCTTGGCTGTGTCCCTCTGTGGAGTCCCGCTCTGCATACACTCTGCTGGCTCACCCGCCAGGGCTCCTGAGTTGCTGGATTAAGTAGGATCTGGCTCTTCCCAGGGACGTGGATCTGTTTTTCTTCTCAGGCGGTGGTACATTCCCACGCCGTGCTATGGAAAGGGGCCTGTTCTCCCTGCTTTGCCAGCGGGGAAGCCGGGCACATGAGAGCTGGTGACGGGACTGCAGCGGTGGGGCTGCAGTTGAAGCCACGCTGCGCATCGTGGCCCTGACCTCTTTGTGCCAGGCTGTGGTGTGCAGCTCTTTTTGTTCTCCACTTCTGGGCACTGAACCCAGGGCTTCATCCTGAGCTGCATCCCAGACATTTATAAACTACTTTTATTGTTTTGAGACCATCTTACTAGGTTGCTAAGTTGGTTAGGACATGTTCAAACTTGGGATCCTCCGCCCTCAGCCTCCTGAAGTGCCACCATGCCCTCCCAGCTCTGTGTGCCACCACTTTGTCACTCTGTGCCTTTCCATCCATGTGACCATGGGCGAATGACTTAAACTCCCCGAGCTGCAGAACCCTGACTATTCAGTGAAGATAGCCAGGCTGGGTGCTTAAGTGCTGCGTAACACAGAACCTGGCCAGGGAGACATAGGTCGTGGGGCACCGCGGGAGCCACCAGGGTTGGGCAGAATGTGGGGAAGGTGAGCTGAACTTGCAGGGCCAGTCTGACAGGCAGGTGACAGGAGGCATGTTGGGCGGGCACCTAGCCCAGGAGGGGACCATGGCTCCTGCCCCTGGCTCGGCTGGCTCCAGGCAGGGCCTCAACCCTGAGCCTCACTCAGTATAGTCTGGTCCCCATCACATCAGGCCCCAGTGGTTTCTGAGCTTTGCCCTATCTAGGTCCGGGCTCGGGGACTGAGGCGAGGGGAGCTCCCAGGCCTCATTTCTCAGATAGGAGCACAAAGCTGCACTGGGGTCCTGGGCTGTGACAGAGACCTGTGACACAGCAGGTGGGCTGGGGGACAGTGTCTCTCCCTAGACCCCGTCACCCCCTCCCAACCTCCTCTTGCTGCCTCACCTCCCCCCTCAGGCCTGTGTGCAGCCTCCTTTTCTTCCTTTGGGTTTGAGGCTCCGTGCAGGTCTCCACAGGGGCTCGGTAGCTTGGACCGTCCTACCTGCAATGGGCCCCATCTCTCCCAGTATGTCCTCCTGGATCACCCAGGGACAGAGTGAACATTCACTGGCAGTGGGAGCCATGCATGTGGTAGGGGATGTGGAAGTCACCATCACCGGAGGCCGGGTCTCAGGCCCCGATCTCCCCCTCCCGTACAGATACATAATAATGTATTCATTCCATTCATAGCTCAGCACACCCAACTGTCACTTCCCATTTGCCCTCAATAGAAGAGGCTCATCCAGGAAGTGGCCCAAGGTGGCACGAATGGTCATTATTCATGATGACGCGTGTGTAATGGAGGTAGCGTGGGACATTGTGTCCCCAGGGAAACCCTCATGCAGCTGGGCTGGGGTGCATATGGGGCCGGCAAGGAAGCTGTCTGTGTCCGCTGCGTCCAGATGTCTCCCAGTGCCCCATGTGGTCACAGGTGGGGCTTTTCAGAGTGGCTGGACCCAGCGTGCGCAGCACTGGGATGGACTCACGGTGCAGTGCTAGGCTCCGGGGCGCTGCCGGCCCTGAGCAGCCCGGGTGGGGCAGGAGGGATAGAAAGAGCTGTGGCCGCCTCTTACCGCCCTGCTCCCTTCTGCCCACCATGGACCGTTTCTCCCCTGCCACACCGCCCTGCCTTGGAGCTAGCCAAGTGTGGACTGAAACTTCTATGACTGAGCTAAATAAACCTTTTCCACTTTAACTTCGGGCATCAAGTGTTTTGTCTCAGATACAGGAAAAGTAAGAAGTAATAAGACACCATCCCTGGTAAACGATAACTGGACGGGCTTCTGCAGGAGGCACAGAAGTTCTCGGCTGACGGTGAGGCCAGGGATAACCTTCTAAGTGTTGGCAGTGCGATGTGCAGTCCCGAGGTCATGTCATTGGCTATGCTTAACCTCCTACTGCACGTCAAACCTGTCGTAAGTGCTGCGGACAGAGGAGGAGACGGGTGAGGCCCTGCTCCAGTGACACTGTCATAGAGGGTGTGGTGGGGGACGTGAGATAAACAGGTGGCTGCATAGGTTAATCCGACTTCAGGTGTGGTGAGTGCTCTGGAGGAAAGGAAGGCAGAGGGTGGGAGGACATGGAGCCGCTGGCTCGGATTGGACCCGATTTGGAAGTAGAGGCAGGAATGTGGCTAGATTTCAGGCTGGGATTCCTGGGGCAGCCGGGGGAGTTGCAGGGTGTGGCTGGCCTGGGTGGTTGGGTGAGCCCAGGCTGTGAAATTGGTGACAGCGACAGCAGACAGCAGTGAGGGGAGAGAAACGTGGGCAGCGCTGGACAGGAGTGGGAGCTCGGGCCAGCTGAGCCAAGATAGGCCGAGGGGTCCTCTGACCAGCAGCAGGGATTTCTCTTTTGCTCCCCCTCTCTGAAACTGCTGGGAGCTGGTGGTGTTACACAGGTCAAGAGCTGAGGATGTGGCCCCACGGGGTGACACATACTAGTAAGCCTAGAGCTCTGGGAGGCTGAGGCAGGAGGAACCCAAGTCCAAGCCCAGCCGGGGCAACTTGAAGGCTTGGGGACACCCTGTCTCAAAATAAAAAATCAGAGAGGTCTGGGGGTGCAGCACAGGCTGAAGGCTCCTCTGTCTTAAAGAAGCTGGGAGGTTAAGTATTGAGCTGATGAAAAACAGAGGAACAAGAGCACACAACTGTATGACCAAGGTGGCACCGAGTGACAAGAGACAGCTGTGCAGACATGGCTCTGCCTCTGATGCCTCAGTTTCCCCAGCTCTACATTTCTAGGGCCATTCGTTCTATGCTTTATTCACAACCTCCTTTCATTACCAGGGTTTGCTGAGCATCTGCCCCGGGCCGGCTGGCTGGCCAGAGCCTCGGGTTAAGCCCAGGAGCAGGGCGGAAAGCGCAGGTTTGGAAGGTTTGGGCCGCGATTGCGCGTGCGGGCCCCCCCCCACCTCCCACGCAGGGCTCTGCAGCCGGCCACCAGCGTCCTTTGATGCCTCCAGACCTTAGCGGCTCCAAGCGAGGACCACATTTATCGCAGCCCTGGAACCGCTGTCCCGCCTCGGCCCGCCACTAACACGGAGCCGGCCCAGGTGGGAGCCAGGCCCTGGGCTCCAGGGTGCATCCTGTTCTCTGTGGTGGCCAGCCTTCGGCGGGCGCTGCCACCCGTGGCTAGCCTGGGCCCAAGTCACTTCCTGTCATCTTCCACGGCCGCAACTCTGCCTGCCAACAATGGCCCGCTGCTTGTTTGTGTTAACAAAGTTTTATGGGAATGCAGTCAAATTCACCGGCATGCTGCCGCTCCCACTGCGGGCTCTCTCGCTGAGGTAGATGCCACGGGGACCCCATTTACCAGGGCAGAGGAAAGGCACCAGTCAGGACAGTAGCTTCTCACCGTGGAGGGCATCCACACAGGAACTAAGTGACTGAGTTGGTGAACTTTGACTTTTTTGCATGTGACTGTCAAGGGCTCTACCGTGTGCTACAAAACCGGCTTTTTAAATTATTTTTTATTATTTATTTATTTTTAAGTTTTGAGTCGAGGTCTGAATTGTTCAAGGTGGCTTGGAACTTGTGATCCTCCTGCTTGGCCCTCTCGGGGGTTGGGAGTGCAGGGTGTGCCACCACGCCTAGCTTTCCTTTATTTTTGTGGTAAAAGGCACAGACTATGAAATTTGCCTTCATGCAGTTTGCTAGTGCTAAACACAGTGGTACTGCTGTGTGGCTGGCACCACTGTCCATCCCAGCCAGAACTCCTCTCTGTGTCTCTCTGTCTCCTCTTTCTCTCTGTGTCTCTATGTCTCTGTCTCTGTCTCT